TTTCCTTTCCCGGCATTGCACCCTCTGGGTCAGCCGGTCTCATCGTTATCCTTTCCTGCTCGCCGCCGGGCATTGCACCCTCCGGGTCAGCCCTTGTCCTCGGTCTTTTCCTTCCATGGCATTGCACCCTCAGGGTCAGCCGGCCTCCCCGTTCGCCATTCCTCCTCTCCGCCGGGCAGTGCACCCTCAGGGTCAGCCCATGTCCACCCTCTCTTAATATTGTCTTGAACATGTCGTAGCCATTTTGGCTTTTGGCTCAAATAGTTTTGTGCATTTGCGACGAACTGTTGTTGGAGAGGCCTTGCGGCCGGTGCGCGCTTGCCCGCGGAGGGGCCGCGTGGCGCGTGTACTCCCAGGGTCAGCCGCGCGGCCCCGGGGCCGTCTGGCGATTGCACCCCCAGGGTCAGCCGGGCGGCTTCGCCGGGCGCCATGCTGGCGCGGAAGCGCCCTGCGGCGTCCGACTTCGCCGCTTCCCGCTACGCTGCTGATGTTTGGGGCCTCGCGGGAGGCAGGGGCAAGCGCGGCCGCAGGAAGAGGACGGCCGCCGCGGACGAAGGTCCGCAGGTGGAATGTAGAGATTACTCCAAGTGCAACCAGCGCAACGAGGACGCGTGTAAGGACCTGCTGATTTCTCTGGCCACGGATGACTTGCGAGGGCGCCTGACGCGCAGCCGCTACGACCTGGAGAGTGCCCGGCGCTCGGAACGGCTGAGACAGATCGAGGCGGGGATAGCGCTCGATGACGACTGGTTGGAGGAGGCGGCGAGTGCCTTCAACGTCCCTACCCGCAAGAGGAAGCAAATGCAGGTCGTGGAAGACGTCCTGGAGGCCGTGCGACAGACCCGACAGCGGGCCCCGGGCACGGCGACCGCCATGGACGCCGATCGCAGGGAGGCGACGCAGAGGGATATCCAAAGGCCAAAAGGTGTAGACGCGCTGAGGGATGAGCTGCTAGTCAGATCTAGTTCGGAGGATCTGCGCCTGCGCGTGGTGGGCGAGTGCCTCCAGCGGCGCGGAGGCTGGCCCGCCGAGGCAGCAGACCTCGGCGGCGACGCCCCGGGGCCGTTTGGCGATTGCACCCCCAGGGTCAGCCGGGCGGCTTCGCCGGGCGCCATGCTGGCGCGGAAGCGCTCTGCGGCGTCCGACTTCGCCGCTTCCCGCTACGCTGCTGATTTTTGGGGCCTCGCGGGAGGCAGGGGCAAGCGCGGCCGCACGAAGAGGACGGCCGCCGCGGACGAAGGGCCGCAGGTGGAATGTAGAGATTACTTCTACTGCAACCAGCGCAACGAGGACGCGTGTAAGGACCTGCTGATTTCTCTGGCCACGGATGACTTGCGAGGGCGCCTGACGCGCAGCCGCTACGACCTGGAGAGTGCCCGGCGCTCGGAACGGCTGAGACAGATCCAGGCGGGGATAGCGCTCGATGACGACTGGTTGGAGGAGGCGGCGAGTGCCTTCAACGTGCCTACCCGCAAGAGGAAGCAAATGCAGGTCGTGGAAGACGTCCTGGAGGCCGTGCGACAGACCCGACAGCGGGCCTCGGGCACGGCGACCGCCATGGACGCCGATCGCAGGGAGGCGACGCAGAGGGATATCCAGAGGCCGCAAGGTGTAGACGCGCTGGGGGATGAGCTGCTAGTCAGATCTAGTTCGGAGGATCTGCGCCTGCGCGTGGTGGGCGAGTGCCTCCAGCGGCGCGGAGGCTGGCCCGCCGAGGCAGCAGACCTCGGCGGCGACGCCCCGGGGCCGTCTGGCGATTGCACCCCCAGGGTCAGCCGGGCGGCTTCGCCGGGCGCCATGCTGGCGCGGAAGCGCCCTGCGGCGTCCGACTTCGCCGCTTCCCGCTACGCTGCTGATTTTTGGGGCCTCGCGGGAGGCAGGGGCAAGCGCGGCCGCACGAAGAGTACGGCCGCCGCGGACGAAGGGCCGCAGGTGGAATGTAGAGACTACTTCTACTGCAACCAGCGCAACGAGGACGCGTGTAAGGACCTGCTGATTTCTCTGGCCACGGATGACTTGCGATGGCGCCTGACGCGCAGCCGCTACGACCTGGAGAGTGCCCGGCGCTCGGAACGGCTGAGGCAGATCGAGGCGGGGATAGCGCTCGATGACGACTGGTTGGGGGAGGCGGCGAGTGTCTTCAACGTCCCTACTCGCAAGAGGAAGCAAATGCAGGTCGTGGAAGACGTCCTGGAGGCCGTGCGACAGACCCGACAGCGGGCCCCGGGCACGGCGACCGCCATGGACGCCGATCGCAGGGAGGCGATGCGCAGGCGCACGTGGAGCTCCATGGCCGCGTTGCACGAGGCGAAGGTCTGGGGTATGCGCGCGACGCAGAGGGATATCCAGAGGCAGCAAGGTGTCGACGCGCTGCGGGATGAGCTGCTAGTCAGATCTTGTCCGGAGGATCTGCGCCTGCGCGTGGTGGGCGAGTGCCTCCAGCGGCGCGCAGGCTGGCCCGCCGAGGCAGCAGACCTCGGCGGCGACGACCTTTGGGCGCGCCGCTATTTGCACAGCGCGATGGCCCGAAGGTACGCCAGCGCCTCCACTGGCGAGCAGCTCTTGCCGGGCGACGTGGCGCGGTGGCAGGAGCTGCTCGACAGGATCCCGGAGGCGCAGCGGCCCACCTGGCAGGCGGACCCTCTGCGCCAGCAGTTGCAGGCCCACTACGAGGAGCATGGCCACCTGAACGTGAGGCCCTCGACCAGGAGGGCCGACGATCCCGATCGCCTTCTACTCGAAGCTTTGAAGGTCCTGCGCCGCGCACGGCTGGAGGATGTCAGGGGCGAGCGCGGCCATCTGCTGCGCCGGCAGCTCTCGCCCGGGGACCTGGCCGCGTGGGAGACGGCGGTCCCGGCCAACGTGTTGTGGGGCACGGTGCGGCAGGCCGAGGCGTATATCCCTGGCAGCGCTATTCTCGGCAGCCGGTGCGAATGGCCCAGAGAGCCCGTCTGCTGCCAGCCGTGCCCGTGCTATCTTTGCGGCCAGGACTTCGCCACGAAGCAGTTGTTGCAGGAGCACTGGCGCGAGGAGCACGTGAACCTGCCCGAGGCCGAGCGGGGCTTGCTGGCGCCGCGGCGAGTGGAGGAAGAGGTCCGAAAGAGAATCCTTGCGGACGAACAGCTGGAGGGCCCCTTCGAGGTCCGGGGCGCCGAGCAGCGCCGCGCGCTCGGACGCTTCGCCGAGAACCAGACGCAGAGCCGACCGGGGGGTGCGTGGGCCGGGCACTTCGAGAGCCAGCAGACCGCCCCGACCACCTGCCGCGCTCTGAGCGGCTGCGTTGTCTGCGCGCGCTCTTTCTGGCTGGAGGAACTCTTCGACGCGGACTTGTTCGTGGAGCCCGTGGACCCCGAGCTGGCAGCGGGCGCCGGCGATCCCGCGGCGGACGGCGCCCAGGGGCACGGCGCGGAAGGCGCGCCGGCGGACGCGCCTGCGCGTCAGCCCCGGGGGCACCCGGAGCCGCCGCCCGCCGAGGACGCGGCCCCGCCGCGCCGGGCTCGCTTCGCGGTGCGGCCCGAGGCCGCCGCGAAAGTCCACGCGCTCCTCTCCGTGGAGCGCTATGCCGCGAGGTGGCCGCTGATCCCGCGGCACGAGCTGTGGGCCTCCAGCGTGCCGCACCCGCGCAGGCCCGAGTGGCGGTGGCTGCTGCACGTTCACAGGTTGCCCTGCCTTAGCCTCGACGAGCACGGGCGGGCACCGCTGGTGAAAGTGTGTTTTGATTGCGGCAAGACCTTGGAGGGCGCGCCGGCAGTGAAAATGCCAATGTACGCCCTGGCGAACGACAACTGGATCGGCCGAGTCCCTTTTCCTCTCCGGCCTGGCGGCGAGCCGTTGCGGGACATGGAGCTGCGATCGCTAGCCAGGGGCCGCGTGTGCGTGAACAAGATCATCGCCGAGCCCGAGAAGAGAGGCCCTCGAGACGAACGGCAGGGGGGGCTCGTTGGGAACTTTATCTGTTTCCCGCAGGCGAAGGTTTGGGGCGGTCTCCAGCTGCGCTCCTGGGGGCGCGCGCCAGCACGTCGTCGGAACCCCGTCGGAACCTCCCCCGGATGTTTCAGGGGCGCGGGGAGAGGTTCCGGGGGGATGTTTCAGGGGCGCGTCCGGGGGATGTCCGGGGGATGTTTCAGGGGCGCGGGGAGATCAGAGTCCGGGGCAGGTTCCGACGAGCCGGTCAGATGTTGGATTCCAGGGGAGGGCGATTTCTGCCGTTGCTGGCGCGCGTGGCCCAGGCGGCGCGCCTGGAGACGTCTCGCAAGGTGGATCTCCTGCGCAGCGCCGAGCTGCCCGCCCCCCCTGCCGAGGCGCAGCGATTCCTCGCTGAGTCCGTCGTCATTGCCCTGGCAGGGGCCGACGTGGACGACCTCAGCAAGGCCCGGTGGGCCAACGTGCGCAAGGGCGAATACATGGGGGCCGCCAGCTTCCTGACCTCCCATTCGGTCTCGTACAACGACATGACCTGCAACCAGGACAGGGCAGACGCCGTCATGAGCGACGCCGGCGCCGTCCCCGAGGCCGTGCGAAGCATCGCAATCCCCATTGAGGTCTCCGAGCAGCTGAAGCACCGGCTGGAGGGCCCCGCCGACGCCTGCGCCGGGGCCGACGAGCAAGTCGTCAGGGTGGACGGGGAGGAGTGCGTGTCCGAGCACGAGGCAGAGGAAGAGGAGGGGGAGAACGATCTCAACGCCGCGCTGCCCGACCCGGACTTCCCCGCCGAGGCGCTCCCGGCGATGTCTTTCTGCGCCGATGCCGCGACCGGCGGCGACCTCGACGAGCTCCAGGCGATCCGCAAGGTGCACGGTGAGCTCGAGGCTCTGCAGGATTCCATGCGCGAGGAGGCCTCCGGCATGGGCTACCCGCGCCGGCGCCTCATCAAGCAGCTTCAGGTCAGCGCCAGAGGCATGCTGGATCGCGGATTGGCGGACAGGATCCACCACCACCACAAGACGGTGACGGCCCTGGAGGAGACGGGCCAACGGGCGGCGGCTCCCGGAGGCGCGATGGAAGGGTATGCCCAGGGCACTGCCACACAGCCGCTCTCGATGTACAGCCCCGAGCTCTGGTCCATGTGCTTCCCCGACAAGTTCCCGTACGGCGACGGCGTGTTCGGCTTGTCCAGGACTGCGCCCATGTCGTTCCATCAGTGCACGTCAATGCACTTGGTCCGCGAGGAGCTGGTGTACCAGGTCACGCCCGAAGATTTGGCCGCGGCCGCCGCTTGCAAGGCGTGGGTCGAGACCGCCGCGGACGGGCCCGGCGCGACCGGGCAGTCTCGCCCCTCCGGCGGCTCCTGCGCCTGCCAGCAGTGCAGAGAGGCGTGCCGGCGCTACGTCGCGCCCGAGCAGCCGCGCTGGGGGGCCGACCGCGATCTCATCTGCTGCTACTACGACGCCGGGCGCCGCATCGAGCAGATCCGCAGGGCCAGGGGCCACGTGCACAGAACGGGCTTCCAGGAGCGCCTGGAGAAGATCTGCGCGGCCTCCACGGAGAAGCTCGATGCCGCCGTGCAGAGCCTAGGGCCGAATGCGTCCCTGAAGGACGCGATGCGGTCCCCCGCCGTGGACCAGGACGTCAAAGACGCGCTCTCCGAGCTCATGGTGTTCACCTCAGAAGTTCTCGGCTCGGACGGCGCGCGCGCGAAATTGCGCCACGAGCAGAACGGCTTCGCCCTCATGTTCGGCGGCGCCGGTGGCTTTCTGACTCCGAACGTCGCGGACGTGCGGAGCCCCATCTTGCTTGCCCTGCACGCGGCGGGGGGCTGCGAGACCCACGCCGTGGACCTCCTCGCGGAAGCCCCGGACATGCCCTCCGCGCGGAAGATGCTCCAGATCGTGGCGCAGGACCCGGTGGCCCAGGCCCGCTTCTTCATCTTTAGCATGAAGCTTTTCTGCGAGCACGTGCTGGGCACCGGCCCCTGGGACTTCCACCTGCGCCACAACGGCCGTTGCGACGGGGCGGCTTTCCCCGATGGCTTCGCCACTTCGTGCACGGGCGGAGCCTTCCTCATGTTGGCGGCGCTGCACGGGCCCATCGAGGAGCAGGCCCGGCTGTCCATCCACCCGCACATCCTCCTGTGGTTCGTGCACGCGCAGTCCGAGCAGTGGCTCCGGTGCGTGCTCAACAGGGAGACCGAGGAGATCCGGCAGCGGCTCCGCGTGTGGCAGGAGAAGACCTTGGCCGCAGTGCAGTCCATGCAGCTGGACTCAGCGGCCGTGCTCCCGCTGCTCCTCACCGACGACCCCGACCGGGCGCCCGAGCCCAGGAACACGCCCTTCTCCGAGAAGCTGCAGCGGGATTGCCGCATGGATGGGGAGCTGGAGCACGACGTGGAAGAGCCGGAGAAACGGCGCGTCTTCTTGGCCACAGAGCCCCCATTCGAGGACCACCACCTCCGACGGCATCGGATGTCCTTGGCGCCCGAGGCGCGACCCATGAGCGAATACATGGTGCCCCAAACGGGCGCCCAGCTCTGTCGCCTCGAGCACTACAGGCTGCTGCGCCCGACCACGGGCGACGACCTGGAGACCGCGGCGGGCCGGAGCGCGGAGGCGGCGGCCTGGGCCGCGCGCTACGCCGAGGATTACCGCCAGGACATCGCCGTGGGCCAGATGCACCAGCACAAGGACACGTGCTTCAAGTACGTGGTCGAGAAGTCCATGCGCTTCGCGCGGCACTGCCGCTTCAACTTCTGCCACTTCGTCAAGCTCTGGCTCCGCGTCGGCGACGGCGGGGACTCCTCGGCGCAGCAGAAGCGCCCCAAGAAGCTGGTGACCTTGGCGCGGACCGGCAAAGACCTTGTGCTGCCGCGGGGGCCAGGGGAACCGGAGCCGGATATGTTCCCCCTGGACGAGGACGGCGCGCCCGTGCCCCTGCGCCCCGGGCGCAAACTCGGCCCGGTCGTCAATGCCGACCCCGACCATGGAAAACACGGCCTGATCATGCCCATTCGCTGGAACCCGATGGAAGGCAGTTCCAATGGCGTGGCCCAGACGGCACTCAACTCCAACGTCGATTTCCAGAGCATGATGCGCACGTTTTGGGACGGGTTTGATTCGGGAGCCCGGGACATGTTGCGCGACCCGCCCCTCTCTGCGGACGAGGAGGCCGCGCTCGAGGCGAAGGAGGACCGAGAGTTTTTGGCGAACCTCCCCGACAGCGTGGAGAAGCTCGTGGCCGCCCGCAAGAGGGCCCACATGCCAGAGCTCGAAGATCACGAGGCCGAGATGATGCTCAGGCAACGGCGAGAAGCCCGCAAGGCGGCGCAGCGGAAGCTGGGCCCAGCCGAGCGCTTCAGGCGCGGTATCAGAGCGCTGACCGTTAACATCATGAAGCAGTCCATTCAGGCCATGTTCTACGCCTGCGACTACTCCACCAAGCCGAACATGACCTGCGCGCCCCTCCTGGTGGCGGTGCGCGACGGCATTCGGCGCCTGGAGGAGCGGCTCCGCCTCGAGGAAGAAGAGGCGGCGGCGGCGGAGGAGACGGGGGGTGCGGGGGTCCCGCGGCCGAAGCCGCTGAGGAGGGGGCCCGCGCTGAGCCAGGTCAGAGGGCGCTGATTAGAGGGGATGGGGCGGGCCTGGGGGGTTGGGATCGGGCGGAGCAAGCGCAGCTTTTTGGTTGCAAAAAAGCCAAAAAGCAGGCTTGCTTCGTGGGAGAATTTGGAGGGGGGGGTGGCCACGCGGGGCCGTTCGGGGGCCTTGCCTGTTGAAGCTCCCTTGGGCCTCCTTCGAGTGCCTCGAGCGCCCTCGGGGCCGTCTCGGGAGCTTGTTGGGCCCTTCTTGAGGCTCCAGGGGGCGCCCGAGGCTCGAGTTGTGGCCCGAAAGCATGTTGTCCCAGGTCTGTGAAGTCTGGGCTCCTCGGGGGAACGCATGGCTTCGGATCTCAAGCTCTAGCTTATCCCGAGGTCCAGGACGAGGCTCGGCGGCGCTTGATCCGACAGGCCACCGCTGCCAACCAGGCCATCGTGAAGGGGAACTGCCTCATGGTCATGCAGATGCTCACCCGACGCGAGGTGCTGCGCTCCCACTCCACCTGGCAGTTGATGATGAAGAACGCCATGTGGCTGGCCTTCGAGAGCCGACGAATTCGGCAGGGGTTCGACGAGCGCGAGCAGCTGCACGAGGCCACGGTGCTCCTCGACGCCGCGGAAGTGGACAGCCAGGTCACTGACCCGGACGATTGTGACAGCGAGCCCGAGGAGCGCGACGAGAGCGCCGACGGCGACGCCGCCGACGAGGCTTCAGACATCCGAGAGGCACCGCGCAATCATGCGTCGCCGCTGGGCACACGCGGCGAGAGTCCGGCTGGGCCGCGGAGGCGCCCCGCAGCGATTGCACCCGCAGGGTCAGCTGCGCGCCCGGCGCCGCCGCCGGCCAGCGTCGCCGCCGAGCTCGGTTCTGCTGCCTCCACGCAGGTCGCGGCCGCGGGCGGCGCGCCCACAGACGATCTCTTCGCGGCGCGCGGGGAGCGCGGCCCTTCCTTGGCCGAGGAGGCCACGGACGAGCCGCAGCAGAGAAACGCGGGGGTCCGCCTGAAGAGCAACAGCTACTACGACGACTACTTGCACCGCGGCTCCGCCGAGTTCGGCGCGTCGGGTCGAGCGGCGAAGACTCCCCTGGCCTCCATGTCGTATTACGACTACGGCATGTGGGTGCGCGTTGTGCCCGGGGACCCGAACGCCCTGGCGCCAGACGAGTATGCTGTCGCCGGCCACTACGGGAAGCATGCCGACTACGTCCAGCAGCTGCGGGCCGCGCCGGCCGCGCCGTACATCTCCGGCTTCACGATGCCGACCGAAGAGAAGGACCCGGAGACGAACGCCTGTTTCAAGCAGGTGTTGTTGAGGCCGCATGCGTGCCCGGGGCCGGACAGCTGTCGCCAGGTGCACTTCGCTCAGCACTTCTGCTGCGCGTCCCGCAGCAGAGAGGGGGGGCGGGCCAGGGGTCGCGCCCCTCTCTCCTTCCTGGGACCTTGGCGCGCGTATCGCGCCGAGCAGCTCGTCCTGGCGAAGCGGGCCGACCAGGCCCTGCAGCGCTCGCGGCAATGCCCCGTGCTGCACGACACAACCGCCATCCGTTACTGGCATCTCCCCGGCACCGTGCGCGGGGGCCCGGTCCACGAGAGTTTCCTGCCGTTGCTCTGCGGCAGCCGCCATGCGACGGATCCTGGTTTGGACGGCACGTGGTGCCGCCGCCGCGAGATCCCGACCCCCGTCGCAGGCGCCGATCTGCAGCGGCCGTCGCGCGGAGCGGTTTGCTGGCGCATGGCCCTCCCGGTGGACCTCGCCTGGGCCGTGCTGCGCTTCGCGGGCGACGTCCGCGGCGACGACGGGCGGCGCCTGGGGGTCGCCGGCTCGGAGGAGGAGCGCGCTCGGCTCGACGAGCGGGCGGCCCTCGAGGGCGAGTCGATCGCCTGCGCCTGTCCTGGAGTTCACGACGACCAGCTGACCCCCGAGATGTTCTTCGCTGTTCGGCACGTGGAGGTGGCCGCCCGCCTGGAGTACATGGCCGAGGCCCGCGGGCTGCCGAAGCCGGCAAGGGGGCCCAGCGACGCGGTGGCGGAGGAGGAGCTCGGCGGAGATCGCTCCGACGATGACGGGGTCTTCGGCCTGGACGAGGCTCTGCCAGGTGAAGATTCCTCCGCGGAGGAGCGCCAGGAAGTGGCAGACGCGCGAGAGGACAAGGAGGGCATGAGACCTCGCTGGAGGCTGGCAGAGGACGAGTTCGACAACGTCGTGCACCGGACGGCGGCGGCCCAGGCGGCTAAGAGCAGTCGCGTGGGAGCGCACAAGAAAGCTTTGATGGAAACGTTCTTGCAGTTGCAACGCCGCGCTTACGCCTGCGTTCGGCAGCCCTGCGCCGTGCCCGAGCGCGCCCCTCGGCTGGCGGCGATGACTCCTGCTGACGAGCAGACCGCCAAAAAGAACCAGGACGCGATCCGCGAACAGAGGGCCGCCCAGGACGACAATCTGGAGGCCGCGGGCGCCGATCTGCCCGTCGCCGCGGCGGCCTTCTCCGACGCGCCCGCGCCGTCGAGGCGCCTCGGCCCGGAGGACGTGCCGATCTCCCCGCTGCAGGCGGCGCTGACCCTCATCGCCGAGTCTGGGGTCTGGAAGAGCAAGGAGCAGTACCTGGCGACGCTCTTCCTCCTTCAACCGATACAACAACTGTGGCAGAAGGCCCTCGAGACGGACGGCTTGGACAGCTTGTCCACGGCCGCGGGCCTCGCAGCGGCCTCGAGAGACGTGCAGGTCCGCCGCGTCTTCCTGCACGGCCCGGGGGGCTCGGGGAAGACGTATTGCATGACCGAGGTGGTCAACAAGGTGGTCGTGCGTTTCTTCGGGCACAGGGGGCTGAAGCTCGTGGCCGCGGCCAACAGCGCCGCCCGCATCCTCGGCGGCAAGACCATGCACGCGGCGGCGAAGCTGACGCGGAAGCAGTCTCTCGCGGCGAGTAAATTGAAACCCAACACCAGGGCGAAGAAGAAGTTGGAGGCCGAGTGGGAGTACCTTGTGCCCCTCCTCGCCGACGAGATCGGCCTGGCGTCCCCCCCGCTCCTTGCGGGCCTGAGTCGCCGCGCGACTTTCGGCCGCAAGGACTTGCTGCGGCTGTGCGTGGCGAGGGCCATCGAAGAGCCCTTCGGCCAGGTCCCCGTGCAGGCCATCATGGGCGACTTCATGCAGATCAACCCGGTCTGCAGCCACGCGCTGCTGGAAGCCCTGCTGGCCCGCGCGCGCGTCCCCGGCGTGCCGCGGAAGATCACGGACGAGGACGAAGACGGCTGGAAGGTCTTCAGGAAGATGGCCTCCGACGTGGTCGTCTTCACTGGCACGCACCGCTTTCTCGACGAGGACCTACCGCTGCTCTTCGAGGTCATGCGCACTCCGGGCGGGGCGAGAGTGCCTGACGACTTGCGCGCGAAGATCAGAGATCGCGTCCAGCGGGGCCCCGACGACCCGAGGATGTCCATGGACTACGAACTGGAGGGCGTTCGGGGCTTCTTCGCCTTCGGCGCTCGCGCGGCGATCCAGTGGGAGCAGGTCGCGCGCCTGCAGCAGCTCCACGTGCTCGCCTCCGCGAGGGTCTGCCCTGGCCCCAGGGCCTTGCTCAACGGGGAGGACGGCCGGCCGGATCTTCGTCGCCACGGCTTCAGCGCGGCGCATTCGGGGGCGCGCGGGCAGCTCGTCTATTATTTCCAGGCCGTGGACCGCTTCAAGCACCACCAGGACCGAGACATGTACCTCGAGGCGCTGAAGTTCATGAACCTCTCCAAGAGCAACGGCCTGCCGGGCATGTGCGCGGCCTACTTGGGCATGCGAGGGCGGCTCGCGAAGAAGGTCATGGGGCCGGAGCTGGTGCAGGAGGCCACGGGCGAGGTCGTGGGCATCCGCTTTCACCCGCGGGAGCGATTCGGCTTCGGGGAGAATCTCGGCGGCGGTTCTGAACGGCCCTCGCCGAATCACCCTTGCTGGCAGCGAGGATTCGTTATTTGCGATTATCTCCCCGTGCATCTCGAGATTCGCTGGGACGGAAGCACGGTGGGCCCCTTGGCGAGCTCTGCAAACGACCGCGCCGAACTTCAGGGGGGTCGCGACTGCGGGGGGCGAGGGAAGGGGGCTGGGCCCTCTCGCGGGACCGAGGCCCCTCTTTGGAATCTAGACTTGAATCGGATCTTGAGCTCGAGCTGCTCGCGTGTTCAGGCAGCGCGACCTTGCGATCCATATCAGTTCGCGTCGGCAGTGCGACGCGACGCGGGCGTTTGCAGATCTCGACCAGGTGGACTACACTGGCCTGGGCAAGCGGGGCGTGTTCCATCTGGAGCCTGTGCAGGACGAGTGGGAGTTGCCTGTCGCGCGCGTGCAGACGGTGAATCACCCGGGCGCGCCTCGGGCCAAGCAGTTCGTCGTCAAGAGCAAGCAGAAGAAGGGGCTGCAGGTCGCGCGCACGCAGCTCAGTTGGGCGCCCGAGGACCAGCTTACTTTCCAGAGCATCCAGGGCCGCACTATCCGCGGGCCCGAGGGCCAGCCCAAAGGTTTCGTCGTCGACCTCTTTCGGCCTGGCACGATGCAGGGCGAGGATCGCCGGGGGGAGTACTTCCAGCACGTCTGGATGATCCTTGGAAGAGCCAGGAAGCTGGAATGGATGCTGCTGCAGAACTTTCCGCTCGACGAGAGCACCGGCGATCTGGACTGGTCGATCCTCGAGCAAGGGCCGCCGGACTACCTCGTTGAGTTCTTGGGCGCGGCTGCGACGCTCAGCAGGAGGACTTCGCGCAGGATGCTGCGCGCGCAGAAGGAGTTGGGGGCGCCGGCCTGGGAGGACGTGCCGGAGTGCCCGCTGGACCCCGACCGCCAGGGCAGATTCTTGTATATCGCCGAGGACTGGATCAGGGCGGGCGCCGCCTGCGCCCGGCCCGTCGCAAGCGCCTCGGCCGAGGCGAAGCCCGACGCGGCCCCGCGGAGGAGACTCTGGGGCAAGAGGCCGCGCGAGGAACTGCGCTCGAAGACGGACCGGCCGACCGCGTTGCCCGACGAGCCCGGGGGCGCTCCGCTGCGGCGGAAGCGGTCGCGCGGCGAGGGCGCCGGGGACGAGGGCGAGCGGGCCTGCGCGCCTCCTGGCGCGGCGCCAGCCTCTTCGACGCAGTCGACCCTGCCGTCGGCGCCCTCGGCCAGCGCCGGCGGCTGGCACTGTTCCTTGCTCGGCCGCGCCATCGGCCGACGAAGGAGCGCGCCCGCGTGGTTCAACAATCCTCTCATGGGCGAGGTCGACCCCGCGTCCGGCACCCAGCTGGGCCTCACGTGCGGTTTCTTCGCGGTGAACCATTGCCTGGGCCACGCGGGCATGCCGCAGCTGTCGGCCGAGGAGTTCCGGCAGGGCGCGGGAGACGGACTCTACCCCGAGGGTGATTTCGACGACGGGGGGTTGCGTCAGAACCTCGCAGAGCGCGGGTGCCATTTCGATTTGTTGCAGGGCGCGGACCACCAGGACGCCATCCTCGCCGTGGGGGACTCCGACAGCTGTCTGGCTGTCTTCAACGGCAACCACGCCTTGGGTGTCATCCTGCACCAGCCATGCCCTCGACATTGGATCGCGCTCGTTCGACCTCCAGAGGCCGTTCGAGACGGCGACGCCGCCTGGCTTTGCGACTCCTTGCACTCGGCGGTCTTCGCCCTTGAGGCCAGCGAGGTGCAGGACCTCCTCGGCCACGTTGGCTCGGCGCAGATGGGCGCCGCGGACAGGGCCGGGAGCGAGCTCGACCGGATGAGGGAGATCTCCGACTGGTGTGCCTACAGAGTCCACCGCTGACCGCGGCATTGCGCCCCCGGGGTCGGCCGGTTTTCTCGTTCCGCCTTGTTTTTTCCGCTGGGCATTGCACCCTCAGGGTCAGCCCTTGTCTTCCTTCTACCGCCCCAGGCGTTGTGCTTTTAGGGTCGGCTCTGTGCTGCGCGGCATTGCACCGCCAGGGTCAGGCCTCGTCTGTCCCTGCTCTGCTTGGCGGGAGCTGGAGTGCACTGGGAGCCGGATGCGCCCCGGGCCGCGCTTCTCGCTCTCATCCTGCTCGGCATTGCACTTCCAGGGTCAGCCGATTTTTCCGTTCGCATCTCCTCCTCTCCGCGCGGCGCAGGCTTGGGCATTGCACCCTCAGGGTCAGCCCTCGCCCCCGCGTCTTTCGCCCGGCTCTGCCGCTTTTGCTTTCGCCGCGCAGATCTGGGAGGCTGGCCCGACAGCGCGGCGGGAAATGCAATCTTCCCCCCTTGATCTCTCGAACCCCGTCTTCGTCGTCGCCCGCGCGAAGGATCGCAGATTATCCACCCCATTCGAGGGTTCCAGGCGGGGATAAGGAGGGCTGTCTCACGGTGCCCTCCTCCGAGAGGAAGAGGAGGAAGAGGAGTGGGAGGAGGAAGAGGAGGAGGAGGAGGAAGAGGAGAAGAAGGAGAACGATGTGGAGGAGGAGGAGGAGGAGGGGGATGATGATGATGCTGATGATGATGATGATGATGATGAGAATGATGATGATGATGATGATGATGATGATGATGATGATGATGATGATGATGATGAGAATGATGATGAGGAGGACGAGGAGGAGGAGGAGGAGGAGGCAAAGAAGAGGAGGAGGAGGAGAGAACAATGAGAACGAGGAGGAAGCCGGGGGGCCCGCAGCAGCCCAAGAAAACCCCCAAGAGGACGCCGAGTTTTCAAAAGCGGCTGGCATTAATCTCAAGGATTCCTTGCGTTTCATGCGACATAACGAGATGCGCGAAAACTCTTAAAAAGTAGCTTTTTCCTGATAATCTACTTTTTCGTGTCAGAGGGCTTCTGCTCTGGATATGGATTTCCCTATGTATTTTGCACGATTGTGGTTGTACGCATTGAAAACTGGAGCGGGCGGTTGTTTGGTTGGCTCCAGCATCGGGGATAGACATACACGGCGCGCGGGCGCGACACTAACGCGCGGCTTTTGCGCTCCCAGAGTCAGCCGCGCGGCCCCTTGGCTGCCCGGCGCGTGCTGATGGCCTTGCAGAAGCCGATTGCCGCGTTCCCGCTCAACAGGCCAGCCCCGGGGTACACCGCTCGACTGAAGTGCGTGTTCTTCGAGGCGAAGCAAGTGCAGCATTTCGCGAAGGGCGTGGGGCGTTTCCTCGACCACACTGGTGCACCCATTTGGTTCGAGCTCACTGGCCAGTCTACCCAGGACGTGTTGATGAAGGCGCGCCTGTACCTCCCGGGCAAGGCGGGGACATTCAGCAACGTGACGGTGAAGAGCAGCTCGTACTACAGCGGCGGCCGCGTGATCAACCTGAACCCGAAGTCCAACGTGCGCTGCGTTGCCCTGGCGGGCGCCGACGCCTCCCAGCTACCTTCGGGGCCCGTGGCGCCTCGCGGGGGCCTGCGCGACGTGGGGATGTGCAACGACGGGGATCGAGTAGACGTCGTGGGCCGCGTGGTGGAGCAGAGGGCAGTGGCGTCGATCAAAAAGGTCGAGGTCTGGCTGAAGGACGAGGAGAGCGGCAAGTCCATTCTCGTGGAGCTGTGGGGCGACACGTTCTACGACATGGTGAAGGAGGCCCACGGCCTGGGAGACGTTGAGGAAGAGGCAGACCCCGTCGTGTTGCAGGTGGAGAACGCGCGCGTCGTGAGGAAGGAGTCCGGCCAGGTCCACCTGACTGCCGAGTTCTTCAAGGATTCCCAGAACGCATGTGCTTGGGCGCATTTGCAGCCGCGCCACCAGAAGGCCGAGGAGCTGAGAGCCCTGAGCGCCACGGTGGGCGAACGCATGTCTGCGGTGTGGGCCCCGAGCGGCGCGGTGGTGCGCATGCAGAGCCCGAAGCAGGGTTTGTACAAGACTTGCCTGCGCACATTGAAGACCTGCTCCCTCTCGTGGACGGAAAGTGCCGACGCAGCAAGCCCGCCGAACGCCGTGATGGAGGCATCCACCCAGTCGCCCGTTTCCGGGGGCCGGCCACTGCCCGCCGAGGTGCAGGTAGAGGTGCACGGCGCGTGGCTCACGGGCGTCTCCAACCCCGACCCCGTGTACACGAAGTGCAAGCACTGCCGCACCAAGATCAACCCGGAGGGCAACTGCAAGCATTTCATGAAGCACCGGCCAGAGCCAGACACAAACAAATCCGCTTTGAGCTCTGTGACCCTGGGGGATTTCACGGGCGGCATGGACGACATCTTGGCGGACGAGAACAGCCTGGTCGCGCTCGCCGGCGTCGCGAACCTCGACGAGTTGCAGCAGTTGATAGAGCAGCGCACTGTCGCAGGCATGTGCTTCCAGGTCCGATGCGACGTCGTCCTCGGCGCCAACCGTGAGAAGGTGGTCAGGCTATCGCAGGCCAAGCAGAGCCGGTCGGACGACGCTCGCGCGGAGTGCAACTTCGCCATATTGAAGGTGACGCCAGCGCTGATGGTGCCCTGGGGCGCGCCCCGGCGGCCCGCCCTCAAGCAAGTGTTGTCGCTCGTCGCAGACCACGGCGCGGGCGCCGTCCTTCCGGTCTCCAACCTCGCGACGGACCTGACGGACACGTTGTCCACCGCCAAGTGCAAGCAGACCGGCTGCGTCGCCGAGTGCGTCATGGTCCTGGCGCGCGCCCGGGGTGAGCCGACGCGCGCGGACCTCGGCGACATGGAAGAGATCACGCACGAGGAGGTCGTGTCCACTGTCGCGGACGGCGCCGACGACCCCGCCCCGTTCCGCCTGGAGATGCTGGTGCCCAAGAGTCGGGCGGGCGCGTCGCTCATGGATGAGGAGGACGTGGACTACCTCGTCGTCGGCCGCCCGCAGGGATCCAACCTCGCGTGGACGCTCGTGGCCGAGAACATTTTCTCGTGCAAGGACATGCCGGACGTTCGCAGCACTTTCAAGGAGGAGCTCCAGGGCTGTCGCGAACTGTTGGTGTCCAAGAAGACGTCGCTCGCGGGAAAGCGGTCGGCCAAGGAGTTGATCACTGAGACGCCTACGAAAGTCCGGTGCGTCCAGGAGACCAAGTAGGAGTCCGGCGATTCGTAGGTTCGGTCGACCCTAGTGCAAGGGGGCCAATCACGCGCGCCACGACGCCGTCTACCTGCTGGGCGCGCGCCGTGGCTGCCGCCCGCGGGGGCGCTTCGCCGTCAGGGCCAGCCCTCGTATTTTTCCGTCGGCCCCGCGCCCCCTTCGCTGCTGGGCATCGCGCCCTCAGGGTCGGCCCCCGTCCTCGCTTTTTGCCTTGCCCGGCATTGCACCCTCCGGGTCAGCCGGCCACCCCTTCGCCTCTCCGCTCCTTTCGCTGGGCATTCCTCAGGGTCAGCCCCCCGTCGTCGTTCTTTCCCTGCCCGATATTGCACCCTCAGGGTCAGTCGGCTCTCATTTGGTTCTCCTTCTTTCGCCGGGCATTGCACCCGCAGGGTCAGCCCGGTCTTCCTCCATTCGGGGCATTGCGCCCGCGGGGTCCGCCGGAGCGCGCGGGGGCGCTTCTCTTGCGAGCCGTCGCGCGTCCCCAGTCATCATGATTTCGCCGCGCCGATCCGTTGAAAAATCGCGCTGGCTCACGGTGCCCTCCTTCGAGATGAAGAGGAGGATGAGGAGTGGGAGGAGGAA